TCGTTCTCCTTTACGAGTGGCTGCTATTGGTGATGGTGGTAATGATGTATCTATGATTCAAGCTGCACATGCAGGGATTGGAATTGACGCTAATGAAGGTCTCTGAATATTAAAAGCTGCACTCATTTTTGCATAGAAATTAAAGAGGACTTTTACAACATATAAAGTTTATGTCCTACACATTTTTAAGAATATTGACCATTTTTCACGAAAGAAATAGAAGTAAGGCTATATAAAGTCATTTTAATTTCAAATAATATGAGATATGTTGCAATGAACTTCCAAACAAAAACTGATTTGAGGGTGAGGGATGAAGTAAAGTATAAATCCTCGTTTATTCACTGACTAATATATACAAAGACCTGTTTAATCAAAGACTTTGTTCTGAACTGTTGTAGAGCGCCGATTTTCAATAAAAATAATTTTTTGTATGGTAACGATGAAACACGTCAATTTTCAGAGCACGCTATTATACAAATTAGTGTTAACGGTTATGTCAGTGTCAGTTGCCGATTTCTAGTTCTTTCATTTTACTTTTTTCTTCCCTTTTAATTATACGATTATCGTTAGGGAAGCAGGCGTCACTGGCAGCCGACTTTTCTATTCCTCAGTTTGCTCATATCTGCCGCTTATTGCTTGTTCATGGGCGTTATTGTTATAAGCGGTCTTGTGCACTCTCTCAGTTCGTCATGCATAGAGGTAAGTAGAAATGCTGTTATAATTCTTTTTACCGTTAATTTCTTAAAGCATCAGTTTTCTTCAGGTCTCATCATATCGATCATGCAAGCCATTTTCTCATGTGTATTTTATTTTGCTTCAGTTTCACTATATCAAGGCGTCCTAATGGTTGCGTAAGTTCATTTTCTAATTTTATAGTTTCTCATTGCCATTTTGAGTCACTTTCGTTCCTAATGATAAAATACTTTATAATCTCGCAAGATATTGCGGTAAATGTTTGTCTCTCATTTGCATTTTCTATTGTTTTTGATATAAGATGAATTTTCTTCCACTTTTAGGTTATTTTGATCATCAGTCAATTTGACCGTTATTTGATGCTAACACCATTTGCAGATATTCGACTGTGTACACAATGTTACCGGTGTTTTCCCTGGTGGTTGATCGAGATGTTACTGCTTTGAACGCTTTAACTTATCCCGAGCTCTATAAAGAGCTCGGTAAAGGACGTTCTCTCTCTTACAAAACTTTTTGTATATGGATTCTTATAAGTATTTATCAAGGTCAGATTTTTAAAGAATCGATAATATTTTGTCTCTGAAGAACTTACATTACTCATTTATTGATATTTGAATAGTGATTTTTCAGGATCAGCAATCATGTACGGCGCTCTGCTTGTGTTCGATTCCGATTTTATTCACATTGTATCCATCAGTTTCACTGCACTGATCGTCACTGAGCTGATTATGGTAGCACTTACCATACATACTTGGCATTGGGCCATGCTTCTTGCTCAGGTTTATATTTGTTCCCTTATCCTCAACATGATAAAATGCAAACGAAGCAATACATTTTAGTCAATCCATTTTTAATCTGTTTTACTGGAATGAAGATTAAAAAGATTAAATAATATTAAAAAGGAAACTGTCAATATCTGAAGTACAACGATTTTCAGCGAATAATAACAAAGAGGTTTTGAATCTTCTGATATTTGGTTTTGGGGTATTAATGTTCATTCTTTGCATTTGTTATTTTCAGGCTCTTTCGTTAAGCTTATACGCAGGATCACTGCTCTTATTGGATAATTTCTTTGATCGTCAATTTGTTACGACATGGATTTTTTTGTCAAAAACAACAGCTATAACGGCAATTTCATGTTTTCCGCTTTATATCATTAAGGCACTTAGAAGACGATTTTCACCTCCATCTTATGCTAAAGTAAATTAGTTCAAGGCGTTGTGCTACTTTAACGATGTAAACTTTAGACTTCATTTATCATGACGACGAAAAAACTTTTTTACTTTAAAAGAATGTGTAAAAGAGGGAGTCATGTGATCGGCAGTTCCGGCATGCGGTGGTCATTCCCCTCTTCATTGATGGAACACATATACAGTATTTGATGTTATTAACTATGGATGTGTATATAATATACTGTGATATTTATTTCTTTCGTTACTATAAGATTTATCGTTTATTTATAATTAATTTGGTTAGGCTTGGATAGGTTGTATAGCATTTAATGAAGTTGAATTGTACATTGAGAATCTCATCTGCGTCTGTCTCTGATCCTAATCATTGATAAGTATAGCTTCACTCAATCACCTTCACTCAATGGGTAATTTATGCGGCACCCTCAATCTTCAGTGTGGAAAATGCAGAGTGATTGTTTGACAAGAAATTTCCCATACATGAATGCTGTCGATAGTTGAGAATATTTTCACTAATATTAAATAAATATACTGATTGCTGTTTTGTCGTGCTCTGGTATGCTCTTCCAGATCAGAATGCTCGATAACTTCTATCATTATTTTATTTGTTCTCAGTTATCCCGAACCAAGTATATCATTTTTCGAGACTAAGTGTGTATGCAGATATTATAAAAACCGCTACTGGAACAGTGAAAGATTTATTCATTTATTGTTCAAGTTGTAACGAACTAATAATAACGTGTTATGCGGTCTGGGACACCGTTATGGATTCCATAAGAATTTTATGACGGATTATAGTGCCAGCTCGGATTGAACAATCCATTTCAGGACGTGGATGGCGATATTAGCGGGTATTGGATATTTACTCATCGCATTCTCACCTTCAGTTGTAATTTTCCGACGGGTAATTGTCAGTGATCCTTTGCGAATAATACTTTTTGTGTTGGGGTATATTTTAAGCGTTCACTCTTTCATTTATATATA